GTTTTTCTTGAAATAAATTTGAAAGCTCAAATCTTAATAAGTTTTATAAAAATTTCTTAAAAAACATTTCAGAATTTGTATATTTACATCAAAATATAACATTATTCACAAAAAGTCATAATTTACGGGGAAAAGTTACAAAATCCCCAGAATACTTCATACTACCAATGTACAGGCATTCACTGACAAACGGTTATGTATTTTCATTTTGCAATATTTTTTATGAAATTTAACATAATTTGTTCTAAAATTTATAAAAATAGTATTAGAAGCCATTTTCTACGTCATTTTGTCAAATTTTTGTTAATTTTATGAAAAAATATTCCCAAAAAGAAATTCCTCTTTACAGGCAAATATCACCTAGAACACTTGGAAATGTCATGAAATTAATTGCGTTTTACAAAATGATTTTCGATCAACTTCAAAGGTAGATATTATTGGAATTCCTTTTTATAATACTTTTAATTATATTTTACATCAAAATTCTCAACAAATCAATTATTTTCTTCTTCAATTTTTGAAAATAATAAATTATTACCAATTTCTTCTAAATACATCGGGCAAAAATAATTTTGTAATTCCATACGGAGAAAATTCATATTAAATCTCTTAAAATGCGTATAAAACATTTAAAAATGTTGCTGAAAAGGAATAAAACATATTTCATACATCATTCCTGAAAAAAATTAAATACGTGGGGCACATTTTAGCTGGAAATTTTTAAAATTCACATGAAATAATTCGTAGAAATTAAAGGCAGAGAATTTTCCCGTTAAATTGAATAGTCCACAACAGAAAAAAATTATCGAAGGGGAATAAAATGAGAGAAATAGACAAATTTCGCGCCAAAAATCATAAAGAGAGCAATTTTTTGTTTAACGGGAAAAGGAAAAAAACAAAATGGACAAAAAAAATCCCGTTAGCAAAATGTATGTGGTGGTTGTTTTTATGAGTCATAGCATTTTTTTCGAAGAGGGAGTACAAAAATGATAATAATTTTGCAAATTAAAGGAAAATATCAAAATGGATAATTCAAAAAATTCAAATAAAATTAAAAAAAAAAAATAAAATATTCGATCAAAATAAAATAAAAAAATTAAATAAAAAAATAAAGTGTCGAAAAATCATCAACGAAAAAAAAAAAACAACATCAAAAAATATATCTTTATTTTAAAAAATGTTAATTGTTGAAAAATAATCATAGCCCTAAATTATTTTTATTTATTTCAAAAAAATGCTAAAAATTGTAGATTGAGTAAAAAATATCTCTTTTTGTAAAATATTTGTGGTCCTGAAAAGGACCGATTGTTTTGTTGTAAAATTGTTGCTTTTAAAACGTCAAGAATTTAAGCACGTTCTCCACGAATACGTCTGGCCAATTGGATATCCTTAGGCATGATGGTGACACGCTTAGCATGGATGGCGCACAAGTTAGTATCTTCGAAAAGACCAACCAAGTAGGCTTCACTGGCTTCTTGCAAGGCCATAACAGCAGAGCTCTGGAAACGCAAGTCAGTTTTGAAATCTTGAGCGATTTCACGAACCAAACGTTGGAAGGGCAATTTGCGGATCAACAATTCAGTACTCTTCTGGTAACGACGGATTTCACGCAAAGCAACTGTACCAGGACGGAAACGATGAGGCTTCTTAACACCGCCGGTGGCTGGGGCACTCTTACGGGCAGCTTTGGTAGCTAGTTGTTTACGGGGAGCCTTTCCACCGGTCGATTTACGGGCAGTTTGCTTAGTACGAGCCATTTTTCACTTGAATTTTTTCACTTCACTAGAGATATGCACACAAACACGGTAGACACTGTAATAACGTTGCCATCGCCACGAAAACGAGTATTTATAGAAAATTGTGCTGTTAGCATCAACTTTCGGGGTTGATATGTTAGTGAATTCTTACCTATCCGTATACCAAATGTACACGCACACACAAGAGAGAACATACAATACTAACGGCAAATGTACACACACACATAACTGTACATACTTTACTTGTGCGTTAAATGGTTGGAGAGAGCCTCAAATTTTGTATAAATACGAGCGGAATCGCCGGAAAAAAACATTAGTGCTCAAACTGTTCGTGAAGTGATAAGTGAAATAAACTAAAGTGAAAAAATGACTGGTCGTGGTAAAGGTGGTAAAGGCTTGGGAAAAGGTGGCGCTAAACGTCACAGGAAAGTGCTCCGTGATAACATCCAAGGTATTACCAAGCCAGCTATTAGACGTTTGGCTCGTCGTGGCGGTGTAAAACGTATCTCTGGCCTGATTTACGAAGAAACTCGTGGTGTTCTGAAGGTGTTTTTGGAAAACGTTATTCGTGATGCTGTCACCTACACCGAACATGCTAAGCGTAAAACCGTCACCGCTATGGATGTCGTATATGCTTTGAAGAGACAAGGCCGTACCTTGTACGGTTTCGGCGGTTAAACAAATTCTTGACGCAATTTGGAGAAATCTTTTTTACAACAAAACAATCGGTCCTTTTCAGGACCACAAAATATATCAAAAAAGAGATACTTTCTGGTTGAAAACTATTTTTTAAATTAAAATAAATAAAAAATAAACACTTACCTTAGGAAATGTAGGAATTTTATGTCAAAATTTCTAATAATTTTCTTTTTCAGCTTTCTCGTATTTTTTTTCTCACAATTCGTGAAAAATGTCTAAAAATCAAATAAAGAAAAAATATAAATACTTACTCGTTTCAATTTTCTCCAGAATATTTTCACCGAAAACCTTCTTTTACCGATGTCTCGTATTTTATTCCCGATCACAAACATGCCGTCGGCAACTCACATCGCTAAACACATTCAGTTGTTCTTCTTCTTCCTTTTCGTATAATATGAGTATAACATAGCGTCACTTTATGTATGTATTGTTGCTGTTTAGTCGACATTATTAAAGAACAACCATGCTGTGGTAGCAAAGGAATTTCATTTTGACTTTTTCAAACATTGTTTAATCTTTTCTCAAAATTTAATTTGAAATTGTTGAATATTTTTATTAAATATAGATCGTTGATTTATTTTATTTCGAAAAATTTCATTAAAAATTTGTAAATTATTCACTAATCATTTCCTTTAAAATTTTACCGAAAATTAAAATCATTAATTTTTTTTTAAATTAAAATCACAGAATTTTATTTAAAAATTCTTCATTAAATTAATTTTATTTTATTTATGTTAAATTTACTTATTTAATTTTCAATTAATTTAATTTTTCATTAGATTATTTTTTAAAAATAACATTTTCGTTTTATTTAATTTTATTTTATTTTTTCCTTATTATTAATTTAAAATTATTTAATTTATTTCCTTTTCATTAATTTAAAAATTTTTGATTTAATTTAAAGTATCTTTTATTTTCATAAAATCTATTTATTATTCGAAATTTCTTTAATTTATTTTCAAATATTTTCATTAAAATTTCTTTAAATTTTCATTAATATTTGCCTTAATTTTCTAAAATTTTCTTATTTTATTTTAATTTAGTTGTTAATTTACGTTATTTTATTTTTCTTTGTAATTATTTTCATTAATTTTCATTTCATTATGTTACTTTTAATCTATTTTTTGTGTTTAAAATTTTCCATAGCACCACAATGCGCTTTTATTTTCATGTATGTGTCCATTTATTTCCACCAAAACACTACTTTGCCGCCAAAATTCCCTTGCAAATCGTCTACTTTATGCCTTCCCCAAGAATGCGCCGGGGTACGATTTTTTCACATAAAATTACTACCCAGCCAGCCAGCCACCACCAACTGCCACATGCTTCTTCTTCTACCTCATAGTATACATACTCATTTGGTGACGCCACGATCTCTCCTCTCTCGCGCTCGCTCTATTCCTGAAATCATAAGAGACAACAACAACGACAACACAAATATGCAACTGACAACGAAAAACAGTTATTTAGGGTCCCTTTTTTATTCATCTTTTTTTAAGGGAATTCATTATGTATTTATTTACATTAAAGTATTATAGAATTTTTTGAATTAATTTTAGGTAACATTAAATGTGTGACCCCCCCTTATCGTATTATTTAGATAAACTTAGAAAAATAAGACTTTATGCTAAGTATTTTTAATCTATAGACTTAAGAAATATTGTTAGTTAATAAGTTATTAAATAACTATGTGTAGAGAGCAGATGAAAAAAATAAACTTGAACTTGAACTTGAAAAACAGTTATTCTGCCAACGGCTAATACAAAATTATTGAGAATTTTTATTTTTTTCATACAAATGTAGCTTGACGCAATTTTCTTTCTCTTTTCAAATATTTTTTGTCGTCCTGAAAAGGACGGATTGGTTGATTTTTCTATGGAATCATACGATGGTCTGTATTCTTCTTCTTTTTCATTCCATAATACCTTTCGAAATAATTTAGGCTTTCTTTTCGGTCTTCTTGGGCAAGAGAACAGCTTGGATGTTTGGCAATACACCACCTTGGGCAATGGTAACGCCAGACAGCAATTTGTTCAATTCTTCGTCGTTACGGATGGCCAATTGCAAGTGACGGGGAATGATACGAGTCTTCTTGTTGTCACGGGCAGCATTGCCAGCCAATTCCAAGACTTCAGCAGCCAAATATTCCATGACAGCGGCTAAATAGACGGGAGCACCGGCACCAACACGCTCAGCATAGTTGCCTTTGCGCAACAGACGATGGATACGACCGACGGGGAATTGAAGACCAGCACGATTGGAACGGGACTTTGCCTTTCCCTTAACTTTGCCACCTTTACCACGACCAGACATTTTCACTTTATTTTAGTTTTAAACACTTCACTTAAGCACTGAAAAACACAAATGATAAAAATTTTCGGATCGAAACGTGCTATTTATACTTTTCTCACACACACATTTCTTCAATAATGGGGTGGTTTGCCTTGTGTGTGCCTGCTAGCTGTGACTACCTGAAATTCTTGTCGACTACAATCTACAAATTCTGTATAGCTGCCCGTTTTGGTTATCATTTGTGAACAGTGTTAAAAGTGTTTGTGTGATTCAAAAAAATAATAAGTGAAAATGCCTCCTAAAACCAGTGGTAAAGCAGCAAAGAAGGCCGGCAAAGCCCAAAAGAACATTACCAAGGGCGATAAGTCGAAGAGACGTACCAAGCGTAAGGAGAGTTACGCTATCTACATTTACAAAGTGTTGAAGCAAGTCCATCCCGACACCGGTATCTCCTCCAAGGCCATGAGCATCATGAACAGTTTCGTCAACGATATCTTCGAACGTATTGCCGCCGAAGCCTCTCGTTTGGCCCACTACAACAAGCGCTCGACCATCACCAGTCGGGAAATCCAGACCGCCGTCCGTCTATTGTTGCCCGGTGAATTGGCTAAGCACGCCGTCAGTGAAGGTACCAAGGCTGTTACTAAATACACCAGCTCCAAGTAAATGTCTTGATATTTTTCATTTTCATGCGTCGAAATACTACCTTAAAAGGCCCTTTTCAGGGCCACAAAAAACATTTCAAAAGAGATCATATTTTTGTTGAAGCTACAATTTATCATTATTTAGTAATAAACGAATAAAATTCCATAAGAAATATATTTTTCTCTATACAATGATTTTTCCATGCATTTAGCTAACTCGCATATGTGCCTATGTGTAACCTTTGCTTGCTTGCTTGTGCGATATGCTATAACAGCCATCGTCGTCGTGTATGTGTGCGTGTGTTAGTGGTGATTTGCCTTGCCGTCGTTGATCAACATCGAATGGGCATCATGTATGTGTGAGCATTTTGTTACAGCACAACGGCAAAGCAACGAAATATAAGGCTGAGGCAGAAATTTTCAAAGGAAAAAATATATTGATGGAAAATGTAAATATTTTGCCAAAATGTCATTTCTGGGTGAAATTTGTGAAATTTGAGAGAATATGAAAATGACAAATTTTCAAAATTAAGTAGAAATTATAAAATTGACCAAATTATGGGGATTTTCGAGAATTATGACCTGTGGGTAATTAGGAAAAAATTTAAATATTTTATTATCTTTTATGACCTGGGTTAAAAAATAATCCAGTGGCGTCCTCGATTATATTGGCTCAATAAAATTACCTAATAAGAACAGTAATTAGCGAAAGTAATTTTTTTTCCCAAAATCAAACACGTGTACAAATTTACTTATTTATTTAGGTAACAAAAATATATACGATAACTGTTGAAAATATTTTTCTCTTTTTTAATTTAATTTGTAGCCCTGAAAAGGGCTGTTAGATAGTATGTTTTCGAATATCGAAAATATTGTGGAAAAAGTAATCTTTCTGGGAAAAATTACTTCTTGGCGGCGGTTTTCTTAGCAGCTGGCTTCTTTGCTGCTGCGGCCTTTTTGGGCTTAGCAGCTGCAGTTTTTGCCTTGGGTGCCTTTGGTTTAGTGGCAGATGCTTTGGCGGCGGTCTTTGCTGGTTTAGCTTTAACTGTACCGGTTTTCTTGGCAGCCTTTGCCTTTGTTTTGTCGGCCTTCTTCTTTTCAGCGGTCTTCTTGGCGGCAGAGGGTTTTTTGGCAGCTGCCTTCTTCTCACCAGCGGCCTTTTTAGGGGCGGCAGCCTTCTTCTTTTTGTCACCAGCGGCTGGGGCCTTCTTCTTCTTTTCAGCAGTCTTAGCTTTGGGTTCCTTAGAGGCCGAAGCAGACAATTTGAATGAACCAGAAGCACCCTTACCTTTAGTTTGGATCAATTTTCCACTGGCAACGGCACCTTTCAAGTACTTCTTGATGAAGGGGGCCAATTTTTGGGCATCTACTTTGTAGGTGCTGGCCAAGTATTTCTTGATGGCGGGCAATGATGAACCTCCACGTTCCTTCAGGGTCTTGATGGCGGCATCAACCATTTGCTGGGTTGGAGGGTGGGTAGGGGCAGCTGATGGCTTCTTTGCTTTGGCAGCGGCTTTTTTTGGTGCCTTTTTCTCAACAGCGGCAACTGGGGAGGCGGTGGCTTCAACAACGGCGGCGTCAGACATGGTTATTCACTGTTTGGTTTATATTTCACTGTTAACACAAATACACTCACAAATTTATGTGTACTATTATTTTTGTTAGCGGCGAGCTAAAGTGTAGGTACATCGAAAAGATGAGATGTGCATAGTAGTCAATTGGTAAATTTTTCGAAAGATTGTGTGGAAGCGTGTTTAATTTTTTACAAAAGTTTTCGGAGAAATTAAATTTTCCTGAAGAAGCTTTGATAATTTTCACTAAAAATGTTTTATACCTTTAAAGTATAGATTTCAGGCTATGTTTTAAAGAAAGTTTGGTGTAATTATCACTTGCCGTTTGTGAATTATAAACGTTTAACTTGGCAGATTATAAAAATGTAATCACAAATTTCCAACTAAAATTTAAAAAAATCAAATTTTTTACGAAAATTAATTGAAAATTCTTTTTGAAAATGTAGCCTGATATGTTTACTTTAGGATCAAAGAAAAATATCGATGCAATTTCATATTTTACTATGTGAAAAAATTGAAATTATTATGTGGTCTATGACAGCAGAAATCCTCTTGTTGGCATAATTTCAATGAAGAAAAGTTTTTCTTGAAATAAATTTGAAAGCTCAAATCTTAATAAGTTTTATAAAAATTTCTTAAAAAACATTTCAGAATTTGTATATTTACATCAAAATATAACATTATTCACAAAAAGTCATAATTTACGGGGAAAAGTTACAAAATCCCCAGAATACTTCATACTACCAATGTACAGGCATTCACTGACAAACGGTTATGTATTTTCATTTTGCAATATTTTTTAGTGAATTTAACATAATTTGTTCTATAATTTATAAAAATAGTATTAAAAGCCATTTTCTACGTTATTTTGTCAATTTTTTGTTAATTTTATAAAAAAATATTCCCAAAAAGAAATTCCTCTTTACAGGCAAATATCACCTAGAACACTTAGAAATGTCATGAAATTAATTGCGTTTTACAAAATTGATTTTCGATCAACTTCAAAGGTAGATATTATTGGCATTCCTTTTTATAATACTTTTAATTATATTTTACATCAAAATTCTGAACAAATCAATTATTTTCTTCTTCAATTTTTGAAAATAATAAATTATTACCAATTTCTCTAAATACATCGGGCATAAATAATTTTGTAATTCCATATGGAGAAATTCATATTAAATGTCTTAAAATGCGTATAAAACAATTCAAAATTTTGCTGAAAATGAAAAAAACATATTTCATACATCATTCCTGAAAAAAATTAAATAGGAGGGCAACATTTTAGCTGGAAATTTTTAAAATTCACATGAAATAATTCGTAGAAATTGAAGGCAGAGAATTTTTTCCCGTTAAATTGAATAGTCCACAACAGAAAAAAATGATCGAAGGGGAATAAAATGAGAGAAATAGACAAATGTCGCGCCAAAAATCATAAAGAGAGCAATTTTTTGTTTAACGGGAAAAGGAAAAAAACAAAATGGACAAAAAAAAATCCCGTTAGCAAAATGTATGTGGTGGTTGTTTTTATGAGTCATTGCATTTTTTTTCGAAGAGGGAGTACAAAAATGATAATAATTTTGCAAATTAAAGGAAAATATCAAAATGGATAATTCAAAAAATTCAAATAAAATTCAAAAAATAAAATATTCGATCAAAATAAAATAAAAAAATTAAATAAAAAAATAAAGTGTCGAAAAATCATCAACGAAAAAAAAAAAAAACAACATCAAAAAATATATCTTTATTATAAAAATGTTAATTGTTGAAAAATAATCATAGCCCTAAATTATTTTTATTTATTTCAAAAAAATACTAAAAATTGTAGATTGAGTAAAAATATCTCTTTTTTGTAAAATATTTGTGGTCCTGAAAAGGACCGATTGTTTTGTTGTAAAATTGTTGCTTTTAAAACGTCAAGAATTTAAGCACGTTCTCCACGAATACGTCTGGCCAATTGGATATCCTTAGGCATGATGGTGACACGCTTAGCATGGATGGCGCACAAGTTAGTATCTTCGAAAAGACCAACCAAGTAGGCTTCACTGGCTTCTTGCAAGGCCATAACAGCAGAGCTCTGGAAACGCAAGTCAGTTTTGAAATCTTGAGCGATTTCACGAACCAAACGTTGGAAGGGCAATTTGCGGATCAACAATTCAGTACTCTTCTGGTAACGACGGATTTCACGCAAAGCAACTGTACCAGGACGGAAACGATGAGGCTTCTTAACACCGCCGGTGGCTGGGGCACTCTTACGGGCAGCTTTGGTAGCTAGTTGTTTACGGGGAGCCTTTCCACCGGTCGATTTACGGGCAGTTTGCTTAGTACGAGCCATTTTTCACTTGAATTTTTTCACTTCACTAGAGATATGCACACAAACACGGTTAACACTGTAATAACGTTGCCATCGCCACGAAAACGAGTATTTATAGAAAATTGTGCTGTTAGCATCAACTTTCGGGGTTGATATGTTAGTGAATTCTTACCTATCCGTATACCAAATGTACACGCACACACAAGAGAGAACATACAATACTAACGGCAAATGTACACACACACATAACTGTACATACTTTACTTGTGCGTTAAATGGTTGGAGAGAGCCTCAAATTTTGTATAAATACGAGCGGAATCGCCGGAAAAAAACATTAGTGCTCAAACTGTTCGTGAAGTGATAAGTGAAATAAACTAAAGTGAAAAAATGACTGGTCGTGGTAAAGGTGGTAAAGGCTTGGGAAAAGGTGGCGCTAAACGTCACAGGAAAGTGCTCCGTGATAACATCCAAGGTATTACCAAGCCAGCTATTAGACGTTTGGCTCGTCGTGGCGGTGTAAAACGTATCTCTGGCCTGATTTACGAAGAAACTCGTGGTGTTCTGAAGGTGTTTTTGGAAAACGTTATTCGTGATGCTGTCACCTACACCGAACATGCTAAGCGTAAAACCGTCACCGCTATGGATGTCGTATATGCTTTGAAGAGACAAGGCCGTACCTTGTACGGTTTCGGCGGTTAAACAAATTCTTGACGCAATTTGGAGAAATCTTTTTTACAACAAAACAATCGGTCCTTTTCAGGACCACAAAATATATCAAAAAAGAGATACTTTCTGGTTGAAAACTATTTTTTAAATTAAAATAAATAAAAAATAAACACTTACCTTAGGAAATGTAGGAATTTTATGTCAAAATTTCTAATAATTTTCTTTTTCAGCTTTCTCGTATTTTTTTTCTCACAATTCGTGAAAAATGTCTAAAAATCAAATAAAGAAAAAATATAAATACTTACTCGTTTCAATTTTCTCCAGAATATTTTCACCGAAAACCTTCTTTTACCGATGTCTCGTATTTTATTCCCGATCACAAACATGCCGTCGGCAACTCACATCGCTAAACACATTCAGTTGTTCTTCTTCTTCCTTTTCGTATAATATGAGTATAACATAGCGTCACTTTATGTATGTATTGTTGCTGTTTAGTCGACATTATTAAAGAACAACCATGCTGTGGTAGCAAAGGAATTTCATTTTGACTTTTTCAAACATTGTTTAATCTTTTCTCAAAATTTAATTTGAAATTGTTGAATATTTTTATTAAATATAGATCGTTGATTTATTTTATTTCGAAAAATTTCATTAAAAATTTGTAAATTATTCACTAATCATTTCCTTTAAAATTTTACCGAAAATTAAAATCATTAATTTTTTTTTAAATTAAAATCACAGAATTTTATTTAAAAATTCTTCATTAAATTAATTTTATTTTATTTATGTTAAATTTACTTATTTAATTTTCAATTAATTTAATTTTTCATTAGATTATTTTTAAAAATAACATTTTCGTTTTATTTAATTTTATTTTATTTTTTCCTTATTATTAATTTAAAATTATTTAATTTATTTCCTTTTCATTAATTTAAAAATTTTTGATTTAATTTAAAGTATCTTTTATTTTCATAAAATCTATTTATTATTCGAAATTTCTTTAATTTATTTTCAAATATTTCATTAAAATTTCTTTAAATTTTCATTAATATTTGCCTTAATTTTCTAAAATTTTCTTATTTATTTTAATTTAGTTGTTAATTTACGTTATTTTATTTTTCTTTGTAATTATTTTCATTAATTTTCATTTCATTATGTTACTTTTAATCTATTTTTTGTGTTTAAAATTTTCCATAGCACCACAATGCGCTTTTATTTTCATGTATGTGTCCATTTATTTCCACCAAAACACTACTTTGCCGCCAAAATTCCCTTGCAAATCGTCTACTTTATGCCTTCCCCAAGAATGCGCCGGGGTACGATTTTTTCACATAAAATTACTACCCAGCCAGCCAGCCACCACCAACTGCCACATGCTTCTTCTTCTACCTCATAGTATACATACTCATTTGGTGACGCCACGATCTCTCCTCTCTCGCGCTCGCTCTATTCCTGAAATCATAAGAGACAACAACAACGACAACACAAATATGCAACTGACAACGAAAAACAGTTATTTAGGGTCCCTTTTTTTATTCATCTTTTTTTAAGGGAATTCATTAATGTTAATTTATTTACATTAAAGTATTATAGAATTTTTTGAATTAATTTTAGGTAACATTAAATGTGTGACCCCCCCTTATCGTATTATTTAGATAAACTTAGAAAAATAAGACTTTATGCTAAGTATTTTTAATCTATAGACTTAAGAAATATTGTTAGTTAATAAGTTATTAAATAACTATGTGTAGAGAGCAGATGAAAAAAATAAACTTGAACTTGAACTTGAAAAACAGTTATTCTGCCAACGGCTAATACAAAATTATTGAGAATTTTTATTTTTTTCATACAAATGTAGCTTGACGCAATTTTCTTTCTCTTTTCAAATATTTTTTGTCGTCCTGAAAAGGACGGATTGGTTGATTTTTCTATGGAATCATACGATGGTCTGTATTCTTCTTCTTTTTCATTCCATAATACCTTTCGAAATAATTTAGGCTTTCTTTTCGGTCTTCTTGGGCAAGAGAACAGCTTGGATGTTTGGCAATACACCACCTTGGGCAATGGTAACGCCAGACAGCAATTTGTTCAATTCTTCGTCGTTACGGATGGCCAATTGCAAGTGACGGGAATGATACGAGTCTTCTTGTTGTCACGGGCAGCATTGCCAGCCAATTCCAAGACTTCAGCAGCCAAATATTCCATGACAGCGGCTAAATAGACGGGAGCACCGGCACCAACACGCTCAGCATAGTTGCCTTTGCGCAACAGACGATGGATACGACCGACGGGGAATTGAAGACCAGCACGATTGGAACGGGACTTTGCCTTTCCCTTAACTTTGCCACCTTTACCACGACCAGACATTTTCACTTTATTTTAGTTTTAAACACTTCACTTAAGCACTGAAAAACACAAATGATAAAATTTTCGGATCGAAACGTGCTATTTATACTTTTCTCACACACACATTTCTTCAATAATGGGGTGGTTTGCCTTGTGTGTGCCTGCTAGCTGTGACTACCTGAAATTCTTGTCGACTACAATCTACAAATTCTGTATAGCTGCCCGTTTTGGTTATCATTTGTGAACAGTGTTAAAAGTGTTTGTGTGATTCAAAAAAAATAATAAGTGAAAATGCCTCCTAAAACCAGTGGTAAAGCAGCAAAGAAGGCCGGCAAAGCCCAAAAGAACATTACCAAGGGCGATAAGTCGAAGAGACGTACCAAGCGTAAGGAGAGTTACGCTATCTACATTTACAAAGTGTTGAAGCAAGTCCATCCCGACACCGGTATCTCCTCCAAGGCCATGAGCATCATGAACAGTTTCGTCAACGATATCTTCGAACGTATTGCCGCCGAAGCCTCTCGTTTGGCCCACTACAACAAGCGCTCGACCATCACCAGTCGGGAAATCCAGACCGCCGTCCGTCTATTGTTGCCCGGTGAATTGGCTAAGCACGCCGTCAGTGAAGGTACCAAGGCTGTTACTAAATACACCAGCTCCAAGTAAATGTCTTGATATTTTTCATTTTCATGCGTCGAAATACTACCTTAAAAGGCCCTTTTCAGGGCCACAAAAAACATTTCAAAAGAGATCATATTTTGTTGAAGCTACAATTTATCATTATTTAGTAATAACGAATAAATTCCATAAGAAATATATTTTTCTCTATACAATGATTTTTCCATGCATTTAGCTAACTCGCATATGTGCCTATGTGTAACCTTTGCTTGCTTGCTTGTGCGATATGCTATAACAGCCATCGTCGTCGTGTATGTGTGCGTGTGTTAGTGGTGATTTGCCTTGCCGTCGTTGATCAACATCGAATGGGCATCATGTATGTGTGAGCATTTTGATACAGCACAACGGCAAAGCAACGAAATATAAGGCTGAGGCAGAAATTATCAAAGGAAAAAATATATTGATGGAAAATGTAAATATTTTGCCAAAATGTCATTTTTGGATGAAATTAGTGAAATTTAACAGAGAATATGAAAATGACAAAATTTTCAAAATTAAGTAGAAATTATAAAATTGACCAAATTATGGGGATTTTCGAGAATTATGACCTGTGGGTAATTAGGAAAAATTTAAATATTTTATTATCTTTTATGACCTGGGTTAAAAAATAATCCAGTGGCGTCCACGATTATATTGGCTCAATAAAATTACCTAATAAGAACAGTAATTAGCGAAAGTAATTTTTTTCCCAAATCAACACGTGTACAATTTACTTATTTATTTAGGTAACAAATATATACGATAACTGTTGAAAATAATATTTTCTCTTTTTTAATTTAATTTGTAGCCCTGAAAAGGGCTGTTAGATAGTATGTTTTCGAATATCGAAAATATTGTGGAAAAAGTAATCTTTCTGGGAAAAATTACTTCTTGGCGGCGGTTTTCTTAGCAGCTGGCTTCTTTGCTGCTGCGGCCTTTTTGGGCTTAGCAGCTGCAGTTTTTGCCTTGGGTGCCTTTGGTTTAGTGGCAGATGCTTTGGCGGCGGTCTTTGCTGGTTTAGCTTTAACTGTACCGGTTTTCTTGGCAGCCTTTGCCTTTGTTTTGTCGGCCTTCTTCTTTTCAGCGGTCTTCTTGGCGGCAGAGGGTTTTTTGGCAGCTGCCTTCTTCTCACCAGCGGCCTTTTTAGGGGCGGCAGCCTTCTTCTTTTTGTCACCAGCGGCTGGGGCCTTCTTCTTCTTTTCAGCAGTCTTGGCTTTGGGTTCCTTAGAGGCCGAAGCAGACAATTTGAATGAACCAGAAGCACCCTTACCTTTAGTTTGGATCAATTTTCCACTGGCAACGGCACCTTTCAAGTACTTCTTGATGAAGGGGGCCAATTTTGGGCATCTACTTTGTAGGTGCTGGCCAAGTATTTCTTGATGGCGGGCAATGATGAACCTCCACGTTCCTTCAGGGTCTTGATGGCGGCATCAACCATTTGCTGGGTTGGAGGGTGGGTAGGGGCAGCTGATGGCTTCTTTGCTTTGGCAGCGGCTTTTTTTGGTGCCTTTTTCTCAACAGCGGCAACTGGGGAGGCGGTGGCTTCAACAACGGCGGCGTCAGACATGGTTATTCACTGTTTGGTTTATATTTCACTGTTAACACAAATACACTCACAAATTTATGTGTACTATTATTTTTGTTAGCGGCGAGCTAAAGTGTAGGTACATCGAAAAGATGAGATGTGCATAGTAGTCAATTGGTAAATTTTTCGAAAGATTGTGTGGAAGCGTGTTTAATTTTTACAAAAGTTTTCGGAGAAATTAAATTTTCCTGAAGAAGCTTTGATAATTTTCACTAAAAATGTTTTATACCTTTAAAGTATAGATTTCAGGCTATGTTTTAAAGAAAGTTTGGTGTAATTATCACTTGCCGTTTGTGAATTATAAACGTTTAACTTGGCAGATTATAAAAATGTAATCACAAATTTCCAACTAAAATTTAAAAAAATCAAATTTTTATGAAAAATTAATTGAAAATTCTTTTTGAAAATGTAGCCTGATATGTTTACTTTAGGATCAAAGAAAAATATCGATGAAATTTCATATTTTACTATGTGAAAAAATTGAAATTATTATGTGGTCTATGACAGCAGAAATCCTCTTGTTGGCATAATTTCAATGAAGAAAAGTTTTTCTTGAAATAAATTTGAAAGCTCAAATCTTAATAAGTTTTATAAAAATTTCTTAAAAAACATTTCAGAATTTGTATATTTACATCAAAATATAACATTATTCACAAAAAGTCATAATTTACGGGGAAAAGTTACAAAATCCCCAGAATACTTCATACTAACCAAGGTACAGGCATTCACTGACAAACGGTTATGTATTGTCATTTTGCAATATTTTTTTATGAAATTTAACATAATTTGTTCTAAAATTGTTAAAAATAGTAGTAGAAGCCATTTTCTTCTACGTTATTTGGTCAATTTTTGTTAATTTTATGAAAAATATTCCCAAAAGAAATTCCTCTTTACAGGCCAAATATCACCTAGAACACTTGAAAATGTCATGAAATTAATTGCGTTTTACAAAATTGTTTTTCGATCACTTCAAAGGTAGATATTATTGGCATTTCTTTTTATAATACTTTTAATTATATTTTACATCAAAAGTCTCAACAAATCAATTATTTTCTTCTTAAATTTTTGAAAAATAATAAATTATTACCAATTTCTCTAATACATCCGGCAAAAATAATTTTGTAATTCCATACGGAGAAAATTCATATTCAAATGTCTTAAAATGCGTATAAAACATTTAAAAATTTTGCTGAAAAGGAATAAAACATATTCATACATCATTCCTGAAAAAAATTAAATAGGAGGGCAACATTTAGCTGGAAATTTTAAAATTCACATGAAATATTCGTAGAAATTGAAGGCAGAGAATTTTTCCCGTTAAATTGAATAGTCCACAACAGAAAAAAATGATCGAAGGGGAATAAAATGAGAGAAATAGACAAATTTCGCGCCAAAAATCATAAAGAGAGCAATTTTTTGTTTAACGGGAAAAGGAAAAAAACAAAATGGACAAAAAAAAATCCCGTTAGCAAATGTATGTGGTGGTTGTTTTTATGAGTCATAGCATTTTTTTTCGAAGAGGGAGTACAAAAAATGATAATAATTTTGCAAATTAAAGGAAATATCAAAATGGATAATTCAAAAATTCAAATAAAATTAAAAAAATAAAATATTCGATCAAAATAAAATAAAAAAATTAAATAAAAAAATAAAGTGTCGAAAATTAAATAAAAAAAAAAACAACATCAAAATATATATTTATTATAAAAAATGTTAATTGTTGAAAAATAATCATAGCCCTAAATTATTTTTTACAATTCAAAAAATACTAAAAATTGTAGATAAAGTAAAATATCTCTTTTTGTAAAATATTTGTCTCCAGGACCGATGTTTTGTTGTAAAATTGTTGCTTTTAAAACGTCAAGAATTTAAGCCGTTCTCCACAATACGTCTGGCCAATGGATATCCTTAACACATTTAGTTATTCTTCTTCTTCCTTTTCGTATAATATGAGTATAACATAGCGTCGCTTTATGTATGTATTGGTATTATTTAGTTGATATTACTAAAGAACAACCATGCTGTGGTAGCAAAGGAATTTCATTTGACTTTTTCAAACATTGTTGAATCTTTCTCAAAATTTAATTTGAAATTGTTGAAAATATTTATTAAATAGATCGTGATTCATATTATTTTAAAAAATTTCATTAAAAATTTGCAAATTATTCACTAATCATTTCCTTTAAATTGTATCGAAATTAAAATCGTTGAATTTTATTTAAAATTCTTCATTAAATGAATTTTATTTTATTTATGTTCAATTTTCTTATTTAATTTTCAATTAATTTCTATTTAATTTTTCATTAGATTTTTTTTTTTAAATCACATTTTCGTTTTATTTAAAATTATTTTATTTATTTCCTTATATTAATTTAAAATTATTTTATTTATTTCCTTATTATTAATTTAAAAATTTGTGATTTCATTTAAAGTATCTTTTATTTTCATAAAATGTATTTATTATTCAAAAATTCTTTAATTTATCTTTAAATATTTTCATTAAATTTGCTTAAATTTTCATTAATATTTGCCTTAATTTTTAAAAATTTTCTTATTTTATTTTAATTTAATTATTAATTTACGTTATTTTATTTTTCTTTGTAATTATTTCATTAATTTTCATTTTACTATGTTACTTTTGTTCTATTTTTTGTGTTTAAAATTTTCCATAGCACCACAATGCGCTTTTATTTTCATGTATGCGTCGATTTATTTCCACCAAAACACTACTTTGCCGCCAAAATTCCCTTGCAAATCATCTACTTTATGCCTTTTCCCCAAAGAATGCGCCGGGGTACGATTTTTTCACATAAAATTACTGCGAAGCCACCACCAACTGCCACATGCTTCTTCTTCATGTTATACATACTCATTTGGTGACGCCACGATCTCTCCTCTCTCGCTCGCTCTATTCCTGAAATCATAAGAGACAACAACAACGACAACACAAATATGCAACTGACAACGAAAAACAGTTATTCTGCCAACGTCTCTCATTATTGAGAATTTTTATTTTTTCATACAAATGTAGCTTGACGCAATTTTCTTCTCTTTTCAAATATTTTTTGTCGTCCTGAAAAGGACGGATTGGTTGATTTTTCTATGGAATCATACGATGGTCTGTATTCTTCTTCTTCATTCCATAATACCTTTCGAGATAATTTAGGCTTTCTTTTCGGTCTTCTTGGGCAAGAGAACAGCTTGGATGTTTGGCAATACACCACCTTGGGCAATGGTAACGCCAGACAGCAATTTGTTCAATTCTTCGTCGTTACGGATGGCCAATTGCAAGTGACGGGGAATGATACGAGTCTTCTTGTTGTCACGGGCAGCATTGCCAGCCAATTCCAAGACTTCAGCAGCCAAATATTCCATGACAGCGGCTAAATAGACGGGAGCACCGGCACCAACACGCTCAGCATAGTTGCCTTTGCGCAACAGACGATGGATACGACCGACGGGGAATTGAAGACCAGCACGATTGGAACGGGACTTTGCCTTTCCCTTAACTTTGCCACCTTTACCACGACCAGACATTTTCACTTTATTTTAGTTTTAAACACTTCACTTAAGCACTGAAAAACACAAATGATAAAAATTTTCGCCCCGAAACGTGCTATTTATACTTTTCTCACACACACATTACTTCAATAATGGGGTGGTTTGCCTTGTGTGTGCCTACTAGCTGTGACTACCTGAAATTCTTGTCGACTACAATCTACAAATTCTGTATAGCTGGCCGTTTTGGTTATCATTTGTGAACAGTGTTAAAAGTGTTTGTGTGATTCAAAAAAAAAATAATAAGTGAAAATGCCTCCTAAAACCAGTGGTAAAGCAGCAAAGAAGGCCGGCAAAGCCCAAAAGAACATTACCAAGGGCGATAAGTCGAAGAGACGTACCAAGCGTAAGGAGAGTTACGCTATCTACATTTACAAAGTGTTGAAGCAAGTCCATCCCGACACCGGTATCTCCTCCAAGGCCATGAGCATCATGAACAGTTTCGTCAACGATATCTTCGAACGTATTGCCGCCGAAGCCTCTCGTTTGGCCCACTACAACAAGCGCTCGACCATCACCAGTCGGGAAATCCAGACCGCCGTCCGTCTATTGTTGCCCGGTGAATTGGCTAAGCACGCCGTCAGTGAAGGTACCAAGGCTGTTACTAAATACACCAGCTCCAAGTAAATGTCTTGATATTTTTCATTTTCATGCGTCGAAATACTACCTTAAAAGGCCCTTTTCAGGGCCACAAAAAACATTTCAAAAGAGATCATATTTTTGTTGAAACTACAATTTATCATTATTTAGTAATAAACGAATAAAATTCCATAGGAAATATATTTTTCTCTATACAATGATTTTTCCATACATTTAGCTAACTCGCATATGTGCCTATGTTTAACCTTTGCTTGCTTGCTTGTGCGATATGCTAAAACAGCCATCGTCGTCGTATATGTGTGCGTGTGTTAGTGGTGATTTGCCTTGCCGTCGTTGATCAACATCGAATGGGCATCATGTATGTGTGAGCATTTTGATACAGCACAACGGCAAAGCAACGAAATATAAGGCTGAGGCAGAAATGTTCAATGGAAAAAATGTATTGATGGAAAATGTAAATATTTTGCCAAAATGTCATTTTTGGATGAAATTCATGAAATTTAACAGAGAATATGAAAATGACAAATTTTTCAAAATTAAGTAGAAATTATAAAATTGACCAAATTATGGGGATTTTCGAGAATTATGACCTGTGGGTAATTAGGAAAAATTTTAAATATTTTATTATCTTTTATGACCTGGGTTAAAAAATAATCCAGTGGCGTCCACGATTATATTGGCTCAATAAAATTACCTAATAAGAACAGTAATTAGCGAAAGTAATTTTTTCAAACACGTGTACAATTTTTTTTTAGGTAACAAATATATACGATAACTGTTGAAAATAAATATTTTTCTCTTTTTTAATTTAATTTGTAGCCCTGAAAAGGGCTGTTAGATAGTATGTTTTCGAATATCGAAAATATTGTGGAAAAAGTAATCTTTCTGGGAAAAATTACTTCTTGGCGGCGGTTTTCTTAGCAGCTGGCTTCTTTGCTGCTGCGGCCTTTTTGGGCTTAGCAGCTGCAGTTTTTGCCTTGGGTGCCTTTGGTTTAGTGGCAGATGCTTTGGCGGCGGTCTTTGCTGGTTTAGCTTTAACTGTACCGGTTTTCTTGGCAGCCTTTGCCTTTGTTTTGTCGGCCTTCTTCTTTTCAGCGGTCTTCTTGGCGGCAGAGGGTTTTTTGGCAGCTGCCTTCTTCTCACCAGCGGCCTTTTTAGGGGCGGCAGCCTTCTTCTTTTTGTCACCAGCGGCTGGGGCCTTCTTCTTCTTTTCAGCAGTCTTGGCTTTGGGTTCCTTAGAGGCCGAAGCAGACAATTTGAATGAACCAGAAGCACCCTTACCTTTAGTTTGGATCAATTTTCCACTGGCAACGGCACCTTTCAAGTACTTCTTGATGAAGGGGGCCAATTTTTGGGCATCTACTTTGTAGGTGCTGGCCAAGTATTTCTTGATGGCGGGCAATGATGAACCTCCACGTTCCTTCAGGGTCTTGATGGCGGCATCAACCATTTGCTGGGTTGGAGGGTGGGTAGGGGCAGCTGATGGCTTCTTTGCTTTGGCAGCGGCTTTTTTTGGTGCCTTTTTCTCAACAGCGGCAACTGGGGAGGCGGTGGCTTCAACAACGGCGGCGTCAGACATGGTTATTCACTGTTTGGTTTATATTTCACTGTTAACACAAATACACTCACAAATTTATGTGTACTATTATTTTTGTTAGCGGCGAGCTAAAGTGTAGGTACATCGAAAAGATGAGATGTGCATAGTAGTCAATTGGTAAATTTTTCGAAAGATTGTGTGGAAGCGTGTTTAATTTTTTACAAAAGTTTTCGGAGAAATTAAATTTTCCTGAAGAAGCTTTGATAATTTTCACTAAAAATGTTTTATACCTTTAAAGTATAGATTTCAGGCTATGTTTTAAAGAAAGTTTGGTGTAATTATCACTTGCCGTTTGTGAATTATAAACGTTTAACTTGGCAGATTATAAAAATGTAATCACAAATTTCCAACTAAAATTTAAAAAAATCGAATTTTTTATGAAAAATTAATTGAAAATTCTTTTTGAAAATGTAGCCTGATATGTTTACTTTAGGATCAAAGAAAAATATCGATGAAATTTCATATTTTACTATGTGAAAAAATTGAAATTATTATGTGGTCTATGACAGCAGAAATCCTCTTGTTGGCATAATTTCAATGAAGAAAAGTTTTTCTTGAAATAAATTTGAAAGCTCAAATCTTAATAAGTTTTATAAAAATTTCTTAAAAAACATTTCAGAATTTGTATATTTACATCAAAATATAACATTATTCACAAAAAGTCATAATTTACGGGGAAAAGTTACAAAATCCCCAGAATACTTCATACTACCAATGTACAGGCATTCACTGACAAACGGCTATGTATTTTCATTTTGCAATATTTTTTATGAAATTTAACATAATTTGTTCTAAAATTGTTTAAAAATAGTAGTAGAAGCCATTTTCTACGTTATTTTGTCAAATTTTTGTTAATTTTATGAAAAAATATTCCCAAAAAGAAATTCCTCTTTACAGCCAAATATCACCTAGAACACTTGAAATGTCATGAAATTAATTGCGTTTTACAAAATTGTTTTTCGATCAACTTCAAAGGTAGATATTATTGTCATTTCTTTTTATAATACTTTTAATTATATTTTACATCAAAATTCTCAACAAATCAATTATTTTCTTCTTCAATTTTTGAAAATAATAAATTATTACCAATTTCTTCTAAATACATCGGGCAAAAATAATTTTGTAATTCCTTACGGAGAAATTCATATTCAAATCTCTTAAAATGCGTATAAAACATTTAAAAATTTTGCTGAAAAGGAATAAAACATATTTCATACATCATTCCTGAAAAAAATTAAATAGTGAGGGCAACATTTTAGCTGGAAATTTTTAAAATTCACATGAAATAATTCGTAGAAATTAAAGGCAGAGAATTTTTTCCCGTTAAATTGAATAGTCCACAACAGAAAAAAATGATCGAAGGGGAATAAAATGAGAGAAATAGACAAATTTCGCGCCAAAAATCATAAAGAGAGCAATTTTTTGTTTAACGGGAAAAGGAAAAAAACAAAATGGACAAAAAAAAATCCCGTTAGCAAAATGTATGTGGTGGTTGTTTTTATGAGTCATAGCATTTTTTTCGAAGAGGGAGTACAAAAATGATAATAATTTTGCAAATTAAAGGAAATATCAAAATGGATAATTCAAAAAATTCAAATAAAATTAAAAAAATAAAATATTCGATCAAAATAAAATAAAAAATTAAATAAAAAAATAAAGTGTCGAAAAATCATCAACGAAAAAAAAAAAAAACAACATCAAAAAATATATCTTTATTTTAAAAATGTTAATTGTTGAAAAAGTAATCATAGCCCTAAATTATTTTTATTTATTTCAAAAAAATACTAAAAATTGTAGATTGAGTGAAAAAATATCTCTTTTTTATAAAATATTTGTGGTCCTGAAAAGGACCGATTGTTTTGTTGTAAAATTGTTGCTTTTAAAACGTCAAGAATTTAAGCACGTTCTCCACGAATACGTCTGGCCAATTGGATATCCTTAGGCATGATGGTGACACGCTTAGCATGGATGGCGCACAAGTTAGTATCTTCGAAAAGACCAACCAAGTAGGCTTCACTGGCTTCTTGCAAGGCCATAACAGCAGAGCTCTGGAAACGCAAGTCAGTTTTGAAATCTTGAGCGATTTCACGAACCAAACGTTGGAAGGGCAATTTGCGGATCAACAATTCAGTACTCTTCTGGTAACGACGGATTTCACGCAAAGCAACTGTACCAGGACGGAAACGATGAGGCTTCTTAACACCGCCGGTGGCTGGGGCACTCTTACGGGCAGCTTTGGTAGCTAGTTGTTTACGGGGAGCCTTTCCACCGGTCGATTTACGGGCAGTTTGCTTAGTACGAGCCATTTTTCACTTGAATTTTTTCACTTCACTAGAGATATGCACACAAACACGGTTAACACTGTAATAAAGTTGCCATCGCCAAGAAAACGAGTATTTATAGAAAATTGTGCTCTTAGCATCAACTTTCGGGGTTGATATGTTAGTGAATTCTTACCTATCGGTATACCAAATGTACACGCACACACAAAAGAGAACATACAATACTAACGGCAAATGTACACACACACATATAACTGTACATACTTTACTTGTGCGTTGAATGGTTGGAGAGAGCCTCAAATTTTGTATAAATACAAGCGGACCTGGGTTGAAAAAACATAGTACTATAAACATAGTACTATAAGTGAAGTGAAGTGAAATAAAAAAGTAATAAAATTAAAAGTGAAAAAACGAAAAAAGTAAAAAGTAAAGTGATGTGTTGTGCTGATTATCTCACCTTCAGAGATAACATAGTATAAATTTCATTGAAAAAACTTTAAAATGTCTGGTCACGGCATAAATGCTGATGACACTCAGACGAATTCGACTTTTGATTCAACGCAAAAAAGTGATAATTGTGCTACTAACCAAAGCGCAAAAGATGAAAATTTAAATAATAATGATACTTACATTGAAATTAAAAGAAAAAGAAAGAATAAACCTACAAAACCAATGGTTGAACAATTGTGTGAATTAAATATAAAATATGAAAATCTTTTAAAAGAGAACATTCAATTAAGAGAAGACAATGAAAAATTTAAAAATACAATACAAGAACTTATAAATAAAATTGCTAAAGGCAATGTGAATGTTGATATCCATATCCCTAAAGATTGGACAAATATCGAAAACAAGCAAGACAACTGGGCAACAGAGGCAGCCGAAGACCTCATGTTAGCCGATGAAGAAGAAGAGGAAGAGAATATTGCCATAACATCGGATGGAAATAATGGCGGAAATAATGGAATACCCAGATTACCTGAACAAAAAGATGACATGAAGGCAGAAAACACCAATAATGGAACAACAATTAAACCCAAAGGTAAGGCCAGCCCACCTGTTATAAAAATCTACAACATTAACGTTAGAGACTTTACAGTCAAACTTAAAAATATACTGAAACATAACCTATTTACAATTAATATAATTAACAAAAATTTGATACATCTGAAATTAATTAAAAATGAAGACCAT